CTGGGGGAGCCGCCAGCCTGGTCCTGGGAAGAAGCGGAGGTTTGGGTGGCAGTAGGTGTCTGGCTCATGCCGTGTCAGGTGCAGGGTCTGCTATCTGGGTGCTGGCAGGCTTGCAACTGGCACAAGCACTGTAGCCAGACCGTGCCCCTTTAAGGGCTCTGGGGCTGGGAGGGGGGCAGAAGAGTTTCCCTGGTTGTGCCCAGAGTGGCCACCAGGGCAAGCTGGGAAGGGCTAGCCTCCCACTAGTTCAAATTAAGTGCCTACACAGCTCTTAATTCGAATTAGGCGTTAGTCCTCGTAGAATGAGTTTTACCTAGTTTGAATTAAGCGCTCCTCTAGTTCGAATTAAGTTCGAACTAGCGGTTTGCCTGTGTAGCGCCTATGAAAGTTAATTCGACCTAACGGCTGTTAGTTCGAATTAACTTTGTAGTGTAGACATACCCTGAGTTCATAGAAGCAGAAATATGAACCTTGCACACAGCATTTCAGAAGGTTTAGAGCCAGACGTCATAGTGCCCACTCTTTTTTTTTTTTTTTGCATGAATGTACTTCATACCATGCCAATCTACCATAATGGAATGCACTCATGTTGCTTAATAGTATGTGCTACTGCAAAATCAACTATTCTATGCTTGACTCTTCAAAATCCATGAAAAGAAAGCAGAATCAATATGTATTTCAAATATTCATGTTCTTTGGAGGTACGAAGTTTGTATTATCTTACAAGAGAGAATCCAAGTCTTTCCTCATTCATATTTAGAAAAAATGTCTTGCTTATAGCTTCTCAAGGACTGATACCTGGAGTGATAAGTGCTGTGCTTGTAACAGTTGTTGGAGCAGTATCTAGCTTCATTGCTTACCAAAAGAAGAAACTCTGTTTCAAAGCAAGCGGTAAGATTTTAACTAGTTTTTCTCATTTCTTATCTATTGTAGCTCTTAGATTACATGTAATTTAATTATGTATAAAATATCAAGATATTAAAGACTACTTCCCCCTCCCCTGCTTCTTCTATCAGATAGAGGCAGTGAAGGGGAGATACTTCAAAGCGGCAGTGCTGAATGGAGCCCCGAGTCAGCTGGGACTCCCCAGCTGATCCTGGGGTCTGCGTGGCATTTCAATGAGGAAATGCTGCACTGAGCCCCAGGTTCCACGGAAAAGCTGCACAGAGCCTGGGATCAGCTGGGGAATCCCTAGCTGATCTCGGTTCCGAGCGGCATTTCAAAGCAGCAGCACCGCATGGAGCCCGGGGTCAGCGGGGTACTCTGACTCTCCCTCTGATCCCAGGCTCCATGAAGGCGCTTCCGCTTTGAAACGCACAAGAGCTCCCACTGCAGACCCTTGTACGTTTCAAAGCTGGCATGCCGCATGCAGCCTAGGGCCAGCGGGAAGTACTGCTGACTCCAGGCTCCACAAGGGTGCTTCCGCTGGAACTCTTGTACATTTCTAAAGAGTAATGCAGAAGTGCCTATTGACTAGTCAAGTAGTCGTTGGAAATTCCATCGACTACTTGACTAATAAATTAATCGATATTTAACACCCTTAATATCAACCAATCTTAATGGCCCAATGCACCAGAACTCTTAATGAAAGAATAATGTATTTATGTAAGGTTCAAAAGTAAGCTGTTTGAGAGATATTTTGGCAAAAAAAAGTGAAGAGAAGGGCTTCTTTCTTTTAAGAGCTATAGGAGGGTAAAATTTGTTTTTGAAATCCCATAGTTCAGAAAAAGGTGGATTGATGACTCTCAAATGTTTCTAAGAATTTCCTATTTGCCAAAGAGCAAGCATGAGAGAGTTTAAGCAAAACTTTTTGTGGGGAAAAATATGTAAAAAAACTAGAGGAACTTGGGAGCAGGGGGTAGAATGTTTACAGTAGAAACCGCCTTGCAGTTTTAACAATAGAATCATTTTCATGGTTCTCTAATGTCACTAAGGGGTCTAGGCTAACCCAAATTTTGGGAATTATGAAGACTAATCACACAACTGTTTCCCACACATTAGGTTTCTAATAACAGCATAGGAGAGTTCATTACTTTGGAGATGTTTTCCCATTATTGGTTTCTATCCCTCTCTCCCCTCACTCTGTCTTCCGTAAACCAAGAATATGAAGACCAGGACACTATGGCTACGGCTACGCTGCCATTTTTTTGCAGAAGAGGATATGCAAATCATGCTCGCTTTTGCATATCTTTTTCCGATTCTTTTTACGGAAGGGGTTTTTCCAATAAAAAGCCCCGTGTAGACGGGGCTATTTCTTGGGAAAAAAAACCCTCTTTCTCAAGGCCCCTTATTCCTCAAAAAGCGAGGTTTACAGGGTCTTGCAAACAAGGGTTTTTTTTCAGACAAATGGTCCCGTCTACATGAGGCTTTTTTTATCAGAAAAACCTCTTCTGCAAAAAGAATCGGAAGAAGATGTGCAATTACGAGTGCAATTTGCATATCCTCTTCTGCAAAAAAAAGGCAGTATAGCTGTAGCCTATGTGAAAAGTCACACAGCATATAACTTTCCTCCAAATAACTTGCAAGGGCAAAAACATGGTTTCTGGGTGCAGCTTGATGCTTCATTTGGTCTTGGTTGTTTGTTGGTTTTTTTCTTTTAGTTGCCTAGAATATTGTAGGAGTTCTGAATTCTGCACCCTGAGTTTTCAGTGACCACCTGCTGGAAAAGCCTCTCCAGAGCAGGATCACTTTGTCACCTAGTCAAAAGGCTATACCCATCCAGCAGTGGTTTTGCAGGCGTTATCATTTAAGTCCGTGGTCACCAACAGGTCGATCGCGAGGCTTCAACCAGTCGATTGCGAGGCATCCTGTCCACCCCACCCCCATTTCCCTCCCACCCCCGAGAAGCCTCACTACCTACCTGAAGTGAAAATGGAGGTAGTGTTGGTTTCCCGGGAATGGACAGAAGTCCCGCAGCTTATTCTGTGCTAGCTGCTCTGCCGGGTGTACTGTGGGAGGGAGCATCAGCTCCCTGCATCGCACAGAAGGGGTGAGTCAGCCCCAGGGGAGGCGCGCGCGGGGTTGGGGCGTGGGCGGGGGGGGGGGGGGTTGGCTTCCCTGCGCCGGGGGGAGGGGGTCTGCCCCGGAGCAGGCGTGCGTGGGGCTTCCCTGCGCTGGGGGTAGGGGGTCAGCCCCAGGGCAGGCACGTGCTGGTTTCCCTCTGGGGGCGGGGGGAGAATCCTGGGAGGAGGGAGATGCAGGGAATCTACAGAACTCTGTCCCTATTCCCGTCCCCACTCCCTGAACTCTGTCCTCACTGGCACCCTGTCCCCAGCTGCAGAACCCTGTCCTCTGCCCTCCCAGCACCCTGTTCCCTCTCCCCTGCCCCCAGCCGCAGAACTCTGTCCCCACAAAATGTATAATTATAAATGCTTCATTTTAGATTTAAATAGCATGAATAAAAAACAGACCATTTATTTCATAATTATAAACACGTGATTTTAATTTTATATATCACATAATTTAAAAATAAACTGTTTATCAGAGTGTGTAAGTAAGGGCTGGGGATAGCAAGTGATGGACAAGAGGAGAATAGAGAGGGCGGGGCTTCAAGGAAGGGGCGGGGCGGTAGATCTTCGCCTGTTCTGAGATTTAAAAAGTGATCTTGGGTGTAAAAAGGTTGGAGACCACTGATTTAAGTTGCTTTACTACAGAGCATCCCCAGCCTCCCTCATGTTTGCTCTTGTATCTGACATTACTGGTCTTAGGGCAGGAGTTCTCAAACTTCATGGCACTTTGACTCCATTCCGATAGCAAAAATTACTGCATAACCACAGGAGAAGGGACTGAAGCCAGAGCCCATTTGAGCCCCACTAACCTGGGCAGGGAGGCCAAACCCTGGGGTTTCAAACCCAGGCAGTCAGGCTTGGGCCCCAGTCCCAGCAACTCTAACACCAGCCCTGGCAACCCTATTAAAAAGGAGTCACAACCCACTTTGGGGTCCAAAACCATAGTGATTGTCAAACTGTCTTAGGGAAATGCAGGTAATACAAATGCCTGATGTCTTACAGTGTTTGTATTTGTGTCCTAGGAAATGAAGAGACTGTTAATATGGAAAGTCAACAAGGAGCACATGCAGAGCCACCTGGTAAGAAAAGGATCTGTAGGGAAGAGCTGAATTTTTGACAGGAATCTTTGAGGTCTTGCATCACAGAAATTAGCATCCTAGAGAGGCTTATTACTTACACTATAAATTCTTGTAACCAACTTTTTATAACTGCAAGAGATACTAATACTGGACTGAAATAAACTGAGTTTCATTTATATTAGATGATTAAAAATGAAGAAAATGCAAATTAATAGCATTTTTTTTTCTTTCTTTTTTTGATTTATGGTGGTTGGATGAAACACCTGAAATATTAACATGTGTAAGGCAGTAGTGGACATATAAATGGGTATCATAATCAGAAATGTGAAGCTAAAGAATACAAAACTGCTACTTTAAATCATTTAGCTGAGAAACAATATGGAATGATACTGACTGGTGTGTTCAGTGGAATGTGTTAGGGGTCTGACTGGAGCCAGAGCTGTGCTGTCCAGCACTAGTCCAATAAAGCTTTGCAAGAGTTGTCATTAATAAAAGGTTAATGGTATTTGAACAAAGATACCGTTGCATACAAGCAAGCTGAAGGCAGGGGAAATTGAACTAACTAGCATTTTTTGTGCATTACAAAAAATCTTTTTTATATAAAAGAGAAGCATAAAACAACATACTTTATTTTTGTCTGATCATGACTGCTAGGAGAGGGGTTTTTTAAATGCATAGTGCAATGCAAATATGGCTATTTAAAATGATTGGCTAGGAAAATTGATGAGATATTGCTAGAGTAGGAAACTTGGCTCCAGAAAGCCCTAGCTAAATTTGGATTAGGGAATTACATAAACTTGAGAGAACAGCAGATTTAAAATATCTCTTCTTATTAATTAAATTGCAGTTTAACACTGTATCATGTCTGAGTTTTCTATAACTGCACATTGCATAGATAAGGCTAAACTTCCCATGAACCATCAACACTGTTGTAGACACAATTCGTGGCTTCAAAAGTATCCCTATTTTTTTCCACAGTGAATTGCAGGGGCAGTTCGTAGAACAGGGATGGGCAATAATTAAAGGGGGGCCACTTCACAAATTTCGGAAGAGGCCCTGGGCCGCCCCTGAAGAGGTGGGTCCTTGGGCCAAAGGAGTGGGGACAGGAGACTTCTCTTGCTCCCCCACTCACAGACCCTGATTAGCCTGGGCATGGAGGAGTGCATGAAGTCTTTGTCCCCTGACCCCTGCCACTTAGAGAGAATTGCCAATTGTTTTAAAGCAATCAGGGACTGGGAAAGCATGTGAAGTTTTTTACAACAGCTGGTAGTTCCCTTTGGTGCTGCGCACCCCTGGCGGGGAGGAGACTTCACGTACTTCCCCGTCCCCAGGTCTGGATTGGCTTAGAGGCAGGGAGCAGCAGGATGGCCGTGGGCTGGATCAACTTGCTTGGCAAGCCAGATGAGGCCCGTGGAGGCTGTCTTGCCCACCCCTGTTGTAGAAGCTGTATTTCTGAATACCTGACTGCAGATGTAAATTTAGGTAGTCATATATGTCACTAAGATTTATCTCATCAGGTTACTCGTGGATGTAAAAACATGAAGCCATCCCTTTTTTTGCAAGCAAAATTCTGGTACAAATTGGGCTTCAGCTCATTCCCCAATATCAAATGCCCATTTATTTACTGAGATTAGAGTGTTCACATTTTTAAAAGAATCACTGTTCTACATGCTGAATTCTCATATATTGATAGAGAATTTACTAAGCTTGATTTTTTGTTTGTTTGTGTGTATATTTTCCAGTTCAGCAAACACTTCTGCAGAAATAATACAGGGAAAACTCAAGGTGAAGAAAAGATCAGCAACTGGATAGAAAACCTGAATATCTGCCTGAAAAAAAAAATCAACAGTGTAAACAGCGGGACTTGAGTTTCAAAATTGCATGGGGGGAGGGGATGTAGTTCTGTTGAAATAGTCTTGGAAAGGGAGGGAGGGATGTTTTCAAATACCTGAGCATTTTTTGAGGTTAGTCCTAAGTGAAGCATAGTGTCGCCCACTGACAGTTGGCCTTAAACTTGTGCCTTTTAATTCTCAATTCTGCTGTTATGGCAAAAGCCATCGCTGGTGTGTATCTGAACTGACTATTATTCTGACTAGCCCCTTTTTCTTACCCTTTTCAAAAATAAATCAGTAAATCTGCTGAAGTACCAGTACCTTGAAACCGCTCTAACACTGCAGCATTGTGTCACCACCCACATAGGGGACCCTTTACTCTCACTCTGGGTTTATAGATGGGCTAGCAGGGCACATGCTAGTGCTCTTAAAATAATAGTGTAAGTGGTGATTTGAAGTTGCAGCTCAGGCTACCATTTGGGCCCTGAAGCCTAAAAGAGGTGCAGAGGTTCCAAAACCAGAGCTCTTGCCCAAGTTAGGATGTGTATACAGCTATTTTTAGTATGGTAGTAGTGTAAATCACACACCTTCTGGGTGTTGTGCGCTGTCCCATGTAATGGCATGTAGACGACTTACACAGAGGAAGAATGAGTCTGCTCTACAGCCTTAGCTGAGAGCTAGTTAGCTTTTAGCTCCAGCTGTAAAGGCTTATGTCCTAAGCTCCAGAGGTCCCAAATTCAGTTCCACCTGTCAGCGCTACAGAAGCTCAAGTCTCAGCAGCCTAAATCTGTTGACATGGGTCGGGAGGCTCGCTACTTGTGTGCTGTGAATGCATACCCTAAATTAGGAAATCATACCAATGAAGACATCTTCCTTATAGTTCACTTGAAAGTGAAGTTTCAAAACAAATCTACTAAATGTTACATTTTGTGGGTACCTGAATGCAAACAGGTGTAAAGGTTCAAAAAGCAGCCATGGCATATGAAATATTTGACCAAATTAGTGTGTATGTGTATCTTTCTGTGTGAATGTATTTGACAGTAGAGTTGTCTGTGAAACTGTCTGAGTCTGCTACCAGAAGGAGGTACTTTTATCTCTTTTCCCTAAGGAAAAAAGTGTTTCCTTTTGTTTGTTTGCTTTTCTTTATTATGTCTGTCTGGTACAGATCCAGAAAACCCCAGTGTGCTTCAGTGCACCCCCAAGTGTCTCAAAGTTGCTTTTCTTACTGATCAACTAATATAGAGTTGATCAAGAAAGGAAAAAAACCTGACGTGAAATCAGAACTCTACTTGGCTGATTTTCATTTGTCTGGGTTTGCCTTTCTAGTGTATATTTGGGCACCTTCCAGGAATAAATTTGTATGACATTTAGGACTAATAGACATTTCCATGACTACTCACCCAAAAGCTTTAGCAGAAGATCATTATTTTTGTGGTTTTGGTATTAAGAGGCTTGTTATCCAAGTTAGAAAGCAGAAATAATACAACTAAGTTATGTGGTAACTACAACATGGATAATCAAGAGCACGCTAAACAGTTCCTAAAATTTACTCTACACATGATTTGCCAAATACCTGTGAATAACAAATAATTTGAGGACCTCTACTGGTTTCATGAAGGATACACAACAAAAAAGAGGGCTCAAGCAGCTAATAGCACATAGGGGCTGCTGCCCTTCTGTGGAGCTCCAGTAAAATCAGGGGTGTCCCATAGAAGCACAGCAGTCTGCTGACATGTTGTCAACTGAAGGACGAGGTTTAGATTTGTAATTGCTACTGGTTACAATGAATAGTTTGACCAGCTGTGTCTAGGAGAGGTTGTTTGTAATATAACTTCAACTTTTGTGCATTTTTACAAAACACTGTGACACAACTTTCCTTTAGTGCATAAGTGAGAATCCATTCACACAGTAAACAAATGACTCTTTATATAAGGTTATAATCTGGACTAGTACAAATTTTTTTCCTGCCAAGATCTGCAAATCTCTGTGCATATAAATATTAATGCATCTAATGAGAACTCATTTTAAAGAGAACTTGTACATGCTTATTTTAGGAAGTTAATGCAAAATAATTTTAAATAAGCGTTAGTGCTGTGGGGTTTTTTTAATTATGAAAATAATTGCCAAACCACTTTTGCCCCATTACTTTTATTTTGTTCCTAGATGAAAATGTTAAAACATGGCAAGTGCATTATTGATGGAAAAGTTGTTGCATCATAGGTGAGATGCTTTGACTGTAAATGTTTATGAAATGTCTTGTTTACCTTCACCAACAAATGTACTACATATGTGGCTCTGTCAGGTGTGAAGCACACTGAAACATGCCGATAGCTGTTTTGAGGGTTCTTTAAATAAGCTTTCAAGTAATTAAGATTTTGGGTCCTTCATTAGATTTCTCAAACCTTTTAAGAATGTCATTGAAACCTCAGACTATTAACATTGTGCCTTTTTTAATAAACCTGCGTAAAGCTACTTTGTTAAAGTATCTTAAAATTGACTCTCATTTATTTCCTTGAGTCAGAAACAATGGTAACTCTACTGTGTTTTTCGATGTTCTAGAAAAAAATGAAGTTGGAAGGGAGAAGGGAATGGTTTCCAAACTTATGTTAGCTTAGTTTTTGTCATGAGTTTGGGTTAATTTTGAAAACATTTAACCCTATTACAATACATTTGTGTAATGTTAAGTAAACTGGGGTGGGGGCTGCTAGTCTGTTTTTACTGTCTAGTGTGCAGTAGACTGGAAAAAAAATTAGCATTTGTTTGTGATAAGTCATCACCAGACTATTATAGTTCAAACAGGAAAGCCCATCTAGTAAAAGAAACACTTTAGGATAACAATAATAACGTATCAGGGTTTTCATTCTGATATTATTCCTAGTGCTTTTGTCCCATTAGTATCCATAAGAGTTCAACAGTATGATAATTTGAAGGGCACAGAAACATTCAGAAAATAGTATCTTTGACCCACGACTATTTATTGATTTTTAGCTTATGTCCACTATATGCTGATTATGCCTAGTTTAAATGTTTCTGAACATCAACTTTTAATGTAGAACTTTCAGATATAACATGGGTCAATGCAACCAGTTAGGGTATGTCTACACTACAGATTTTTATCAGAAAAGCGGATATTTTTCTGACAAAACTTGAGGAACGTCCACGTTGCAATTGCATTCTTCCGCAAGAAAACTGAAAAAAGGAGGTTTTCCCGCATTGGTAATCCTCATTCTATGAGGAAGAAGCCTTTTTGTGAAAGAGCTCTTTCGCAAAAAGGCGTGTGTGGATGGGAAAGAGGGAGTTCTTTCAAAAGAAGAGGAAAGAAGAAAAAGCACAGGTGCCCTGGTGGCCATTCCGCCAAAGCAATCACAGCTTACATGTGAGAGAGAGTCCAATCAGTCCCGACGCTCTCTTCTGAAAAAGCAGATCACTTTTTTTGATGCACTTTTGCAGAGTGGATACTCCCTTTCAGAAGAGTTTTTTCAGAAGATCTCTTCTGAAAAAAGCTTCTTCCAAAAGAAGCCTGTAGTCTAGATGTAGCCTTAGAACTGAATTACATTTTGTCTTTTAAAATCAGTTTTCATCTTTGCTGTCAAATCCCTTAGGCAGCTGTCTCGGTGCTAACTATATTTTGTATTGCATGGGACACCCATTGCTCAATGAAGAAGAAAAAAATAACAGAAAATGTGGAAATAGCAGAGAGGGTTAGCAACTTTTTTTTGTATTGGTTTTCACCAAGAAGAGTGCTTTGGAGGATAGTGTCATAATTCAAAATGATGTGAACAAAGTGGAGAAATTATCTGAGGTATAAATAGGATGAAGTTCAACAAGTAGTAATAAATGGTCAGTTTTCAGAATGGAGAGAGGAAAATAGTGGTGTCTCCTCTGGGTATGTACTGAGACCAATCCTATTCAATATATTTATAAATGATCTGGAAAAAGGGGTAAACATTGACGTGGGAAAATTTTCAGATGACACAAAACAACTCAAGATAGTTATGTCCCTATACAAAAACTGGGTGATTGAAGAACGAAATGGCAAATGAAATTTAGTGTTGACAGATGCAAAATAATGCATATTGGAAAATATAATCCTACCTATACACAGAAAATACGAGGTCTAAATTATCTGCTAACACTCAAGAAAGAGATCTTGGAGTCAGTGTGGGTAATTTTCGACAAATATTTACTCAATGTGCTGCAGTGGTCCAAAAAATGAACAGAATGTTGGGAATCATTAAGAATGATCCGTCTACATATTTTAGAAATGTGCTAGGACTACCACATTTTGTATGCAGCTTTCTTTTCTAACTGAATGCAAAGTCAGGATTTGGTGGTGCCAGGAAACTGGGATGTGTCTGGAATAGAACTGTTTACCATATCATGGAAAGGGAAGGGGTTGGAGGGAAGCGATACTGCAGAGTGACCAGTGGGGGCAACTGCACCACCAAGACAGTGCTCACTTGCGGATGGGGCTCACCATCTTGCCAGTCAGCAGACCAGATAAGTGGTGACCTGCTCCAAATCCCTCCCCCGTCCCTTGGTTGCTGTGGGGACGGGGGAGAGAAGAGGCCCCTTCTGGATGGAAGTGGGGGAGGGACAAGATACCCCACTGGATGTGAGTGGGGAGAAGGCCCTTGCTAGATGTGGGGAGGAGAAAGCTCTGCCCCCATGGAGAAGCCACAGCCACCACCACCCCCAAGCATCTCCAGGCCACCCAGTGCACCTGCCCACCAACCAGCCTATGCAGCTCTTTCCTTCCTTCCCCGGGCCCAACCCAGGGAGCGCCACTGAGGGTAACCTGTGTGATCTGCCCCCACTCCCAGACTAGGACAGGGGAGCACTGGCAGGGCTGGCCTACACTCCCCCATCCTATCCCTCCAAGGACAAGCCAGTGGGTATGCAGTCTCACACCACCTCTGGCTGGCCCTGGGAGAAGTGAGAAGTCCCCCACTCAGGACAAGCTGGGCCACTCCAGCCCTTTGCCTTGAGCTCCTCTGCCCTGAGCCCATCCTCACCTCCCAGCACTCACTCTCACACCATCCCATACTCCAACCCCTTGTCCTGAGCCCCTCCTCAATCCCCCATCCTGACTCCTGCATCCCCCCGATGCTCCCAGCCTCCTGCCCGGAAGGACCTGGACAATGCCAGGTAAGTCTTCTCGTAGATAATAACAGAAAAAAAACCCATATTGCCTCTGTAAATCCATGGTAGGTCCACATCTTGCATACTGCATGCAGATGTGGTTGCCCCATTTCAAAAAAAAGATATATTGGAATTGGAAAAGGTTCAGAAAAAGGCAACAAAATTATGAAGAGTTTGGAATTACTTCTATCTGAGGAGAAATTAATAAAATGGGGGCATTTCGATTTGCAAAAGAGACAGCTAATGGGGGATACGAATGAGGTCTATAAAATTGTGACAGGTGTGGAGAACATAAATATTATTTACTCAGAAGAATTAGGGGGTCACCAAATCAAGATATAGGAAGTAAGTTTTAAAAAAGGGAAGTATTTCTTCACACAACACAGTTATGGAACTCCTTGCCAGAGGATGTTGTGAAGGCCAAGTCTTTTAAGAGAGTTCAAAAAAGAGCAATAGACCCATCAATTGCTACCAGCCAGGATGGACTAGGACGGTGCCCGTAGCCTTTCTTTGCCAGAAGCTGGGAATGGGCAATGGGGAATGAATCACTTGATTACTGTTCTGTTCACCGGGCATTGGCCACTGTTGGAAGACAGGATACTGGGCTAGATGGGCCTCTGTTCTGACTGAGTATGGCCACTGTTATGTTCTCATGTACTTATTAATCATCTTCTTAAAGAAGGATTAATTATTACTTCTATGCATTATAGACAATGTAGAAAGAAAAACTATTATAGGGGATTTTAGTTTGGGAGACATGCTGGAGGTCTCATATAGCGAGTATTAAAATATCATTAGACTGTTACTTGTTTATTTTGTTTCTCTAAACGTAGATATCACCTACCACAAAAGGTAATGCACTCATGATGATGCATCTCTTGCACCTCTTTATGTTGGATAAAGATTAGTGACTGAAATGGAAATTGGTAAGTTGCCTAACAATCAATTATCATGACCTAATTAAATTCAATATGGCAAACAGAGCACAGTCCAATCTGTAATTCACCATCTGCTCTTGGGCTAAGATTTGAAAAAGAAAAATAGTTAAAAGTTGTTATTTGTTATAAATACCTGGGTTTTTGTGGTGCTTTATACTTTCAAAGCATTATACAGCTGTAAACTGATTAATTCCCCGGAGAGGTAGGCACACACTATTATCGTCAATTTACAGAGGGGTAACTGAAGACAAAGGCCAAGATCCTCAAAGGAATTTAAAAATTCCCATTAATTTAAATGGGACTGAGGTGCCTAAAAACTTCTGAGGGCCTTAGGCATTTGCCCACAGATACCCAGCGCATTAGGTGGTTCCCAACTGCTGGTCCGTGGACCGGAGCCAGGCCACAAACTCCTGGCTGCTAGGCAGTGGTGACTCTGGGAACCGGACCTGCGGCACACCACCCAGCACCTCCCCTCCTGCTGCAGCTGTTGGGAGAGGCATGTCCTGCTCCACCTCTCAGTCAACCAGTGCTGGGAAGGGGCAGAGTCTTTTAGATGCAGAAGAGCAGTTTACTGCTCCGCAGAAGGGCCATGCGGAGCCCAGCACAGCAGCTTTAGAGCATCTGTGACCCAGGCAGCCGCATTCAGCTGGCAGCTGGGAGGCAATGCAGGGCTAGGTGAGGGGGGCAGGCCAAGCACTGAGTGCTCTGGGAGTTCCAGGGGCGGGGCTAGTGCTGGGGGCTGTATGGGCTGGGGGCTCTAAGCGGTGGGGAGCTCTAAGAGACAGAGGGTTGACATGGGGGGCAATGGGGCATCTAGAGTGGAGAGCTGGCACTGAGAGGATCTGGGGGCAGGGCTAGTAGTGGATGGGCTATGAGGGCAGGGCTGGCACTGGGAGGCTCTGGAGATGAGACTAATATTGGGGGCTGGCACTGGGGTGGAGCCAGGTACAGAGGGGTTCTGGAAACAGGAAGCTGGCACTGGGGATCTGGTGGGGGGCTCTAAGAGACAGGGGGCTGGCACTGAGGCATTTGGGATGGGAGGCTGGCACTAGGGGGCTCAGAGGGCAGAAGGCTGGCATGTGGAGGGTTGGGTGCAGAGACTCTGGGGTCAGTGGCTGGCACTGGGGGATCTGGTGATGGGCTCAAAGGGCAGGAGGCTGGCACTGAAACATTTGGGATGGGTGGCTGGCACTTGAGGGCTCTGAGGGCAAGAGGCTGGCATGGGGGGGTTGGGTGCAGGGACTCTAAGAGGCAGGAAATTGGAGAGGGTCCAGAGACGAGCAAGGAGAATGATTAAAGGTCTAGAGAACATGACCTATGAAGGAAGGCTGAAAGAATTGGGTTTGTTTAGTTTAGAAAGGAGAAGATTGAGGGGGGACATGATAGCAGTTTTCAGGTATCTAAA